AAAGCCAGATCTGTCTGACTCAAGCTGGGGTTTGCTGATCTCATGTCCTGTGGGTCTCTGAAGCCACAGCCAGGCTCAGACGAAGACACGCAGCATAAGGAATATGGGGAAAGGTAAATCCAGGGGGAGAGAGAAAGTCAAAGGCAGCTTCATAGAATGAGGTTTTTACCTGGTTCTGGGCAAGAAAGATGGATTTAGAAAGGTGGAGGGAGCCAGCAGTAGTTACTCTAAGCCAGTGACAAGCCACAGGCTGTGAGAGATATTTATAACCATGTAACCAATGATTCAAATCTATACATCAATAAGGAAAAAAACCACCTATAGAAAAATGGGCAACAGATGTGAAAAAGCAATTCTCCAGGGAGGAATCCATGTGGCCAATACATTTTAAAGTGGAGCTGCATAACAGCACAGGGTAGGGTGGGGCTTTTCGAATTTAATGTGCATTCAGATCTCCTGGCTTTCTTGTCAGAATGCAGATTCTGGTTTGGTAGGTCTGGGGTGAGACCTGAGAGTCTGTATCTCCAACCAGCTTCCAAGCAATGCGGAGGCTGCTGGTTCACAGACCACGCCTCTGAGCAGTGAGGTCATAGGCAGGGAAAAGAGTGAATTCTTCAGCCAGCCAGGTCTGAATCCTGGCTCTGCCACTTTTTGGCTGTGAAACTTGGACGAGTAACTTAACGTCTCTGTGCCTCATCTGTGAAGTGGAGATAGTAATAGTCCCTATCTCCTGTGGTTTGGAGGACTGAATGAGTTCACATACCTAGAGCACGTAGGCAGCATGTGGCAAAAGTAAGTACTCAATAAATGTTAGCAATTGGTGGTCAGAGTAGGAATGACTAGGAAGTGAAAATTAAACCACATATCATTCCACGCCTACAGGACTGGCAGGTGTCGGAAAGTCTGGCAATTTCAAAGGCTGGTGAGATGGGGGAGACAGGAATTGTCACACACTGCTAATTGGAGCACAAATTGGTACAGCCACCTTGAAGAGCAGTTTGGCAATATCTAGGAAAATTGAAGATGCCCCTACAATGAGATTCTCGATGTGTGCATCGTATGTGTGTGCGTGTGTGTGTGTGTGTGTGTGTGTGTGAAGAACAGGAGAGATATGTACACTACAGTGATATTTATGTAAATGAATTTTAAAAACCGTAAAGGCAATACTATATATTTTTTCGTGCATATGTACACATGTAGTAAGAATATAAAAACCAGTCCCTGGAAGCATACACGGCGTGTTCAGGAGACTGATCGACCCTGGAGCGGGAGGGGAAGACGGACAAAGGACGCCTTCAATATTACTGTACTTAATAGGGAAAAATCTGAAGCAGAAATGACTCAGTGTTAACATTTGTTAACTCCATGATTCTTTTTTACATTATTCTTCCTACTTTTCTGTATTTAAGTTTTTGAAACTTTTTTTCCGGGGGGCAGGACACAGAGGAGAAGGATGTTGGACCAAGTGAAAAGAGTGGGGTGGCCTGGTGTTGGGTGAAGGTGGGGACAGAGAGGCCCACCCCATGGGGTCCTGCCTTTCTCCAGGACCAAGGGGAAAAGTTTAGACAGGTAGGTGGGAAAGCCGAAGCTCAGAGAGGTTAAGTGACCTATCCAAGATCACATAGCTAGTGGCCCGTCCATTTGGACTCTCAGCTCCAGCTTGTGCGCAACCAGCCCTAGCCCAGGGGCCCAGCCAAGGCCAGGGGAGCCCAGCAGGGGGAGGGGGAGGTTTTACATGCAGCCCAAGCCCTTTCTTCTCCGCGATGTAACCATCCCAACAACTGCCTCCTGCTAGGACAAGAACAAGCAGTGAGAGCCCCTGGAGTAAATTCCACCTAACCGGAAAGAGAGGAGGAAGCAGAAGAGGAGGGACTGACATGGCCGAGCATCGGAACAGTGCCCTTCAGGAGCAGCTGCTGGGGCGCTTAGGCTTGGCAGCCAGGGCCCCCACCCCGGGTGAGGAAGAAGGTGAGGCTAAAAAAGAATGGAGGCTGCACAAGCCAATGGTCCTGGGGTCACCTGCTGCAGAGGAAGGAGTATTCTCCAGGTCAGGACACTGACCTTGTGTGGCCTTGGGCATGTCCCCTCCCCTCTCCGGACCTTAGTTCCCCTTCTGTAAAATGAGGCCACGGCCCCCACGGAGCCTGTGGTCCCTTTTGCTCCGCTGATCAGAGGTTCTGGGTTTCCCTGCAGGGCCCTGGCAGCCCTGTCTCCGCCCCTTTCAATCTCCTCCTCTAAGCCTGGCACAGCCACTACCCTACGCTGCTGCCAGAACGCTTCGGCCTCCGCTCATCATTCGCCTTGCTTTAAAATGAGACACGCCTGAAAGCAAGACCACGCGGAAAGAGGACTGCGAGTCCTAACATCAGCGAGCGGCGGCAGTATTTCACAGCCATCAGGCTGGTGGAAGTCACAAAGTCTGACGGCACTAAGTGTCGGCACAGACGTGATGAACAGGAACTGTCATACGCAAAAGTAGGCTGTGAATCAACCCCACGGGTCCACAGGCCTGGGGTCAAAACTAGACCCGGATCAAATAGCTCTGCCATGAACTCACTGTGTGGCTGTGGGCAAGTCACTTAACCTCCTTGAGCCCCACTTTCCCCATCTGTCAAGTGGGTGTAAGAACCTCACCCATCTCACAGAGCTGTGAGGATGTGAGTGCGGTGGCTGGCGCAGTGCCTGGAGTATGGTCGCTGCTCAGCAAATAACAGCTGGCCGCCGTCCATCATCCCCTTCCCTCGAGGGTCGGGGTGTGAATCACAGGGGCTGTGGTTCCAGGAAGATCAGGATTGAGACACCAGGGCCTCTCCTCCGTCTTGTCGAGACTCCCCGCTGCCCTTCCCTCAAGGGTTCCTGGTGACAGCCTGAGCCCTGGGTAGATGCGATGCCTCCAGCACGGTCGGACGCGGCTGTGCGTGGACTGGAGCCAGAGTGCGGAGGAAGGGGCGTCTTTATCACAAAGGAACGTAAGGAACCGCAGAGTCAACGAAGGGCAGAGGCATGAATCGGTCCAGGAATGGCAAATGGGCATCATGTCTGATTCCATCTCCAGTCTTACACCTATGCCGGCCGTCACTCACCATCCTGACCTCAGAATCCCTCCGCACCCATATGCCAGGCAGCCAACCGGTTGCAGTTGGCACGTGAAATGAAATCTAGTTAGTGTCTTTAGCAGAAGCCACGGGTGCCCTGCCCATACCCTTCGACCCTTCCATGGCAGGACACATCAGCCTAGCTTGCAAATGCCAACGCTGGCATCGTCTTGCCCAGGGCAGGCCAGGAATTAACACCCTCCACCTGTTCTCTGCCAACGACCAGCAGGAGCTGGGGGGCAAATACCCCAGTTCCCCCCCCTTGAGTGCAGAAACCCTGAGGGACATCTTCTCCCCTGGCTTCCCCGAATGTCCTAGCAGGATTCGATTCCACTGGCCCGCAGTGGAGCTTGCTTGGTAACACACCCCTTGTCGGACCCCTCCCTTCCCTCTAACCTCCCTCCCTCCCGACCAGTGTTTCCTGCGATCATTCCCAGTTAAATCTACTTGGCCTCAAATCTTGTCTTAGGGTCCGATTCTGGGGAACCCTGAACTAAAACAACCCCCTCATCTAGTCGTCTCTGCCGTTATTTTATGGGTGAAGGAACTCAGACCCAGAGAAAGACAGGGACTTGCCCCAGCCGGAGCCGGCGACAGGGCCCTCATGAGACCTCTGTTCTCCTGGCCTGGACTTCAGCTCTTCCCCACGCTACTTGCTGCCCCCTGAGTGCTGCCCCTGCGTCTGCACGTCCCACTCCCCTGCCCCCGTGGCTTCAACATTTTATTTCCCAATGCAAAAGAAAAGGCTGATCACAGGTTAGAAAATCTATGGGCATCAGAGGCAGGTGGCAGAGGGACCCTCCCTGGAACCCCAGAGCTCGTTTCTGGAAGTGGACACCTCTCCTTCTCCCTCGATGCAGGTCCTTGGACTCGTCCCTTAAGGCTCCAGGCCCTTGGTCTCCTCAGCAGTGGGACAGGCGGCTGGGGAAACTGCAACCTGCTGCGTGGATAGAAAGGGTTGCTCAGGGAAGCAGCCAGCCCGGGCCCCACCCCCACCAACATCGGGCACCTCTGGGAAAATTAAAATGCACATTGCTGCATTTATTAAAAAAGGAATTTAAAATTATATTTGCTTTATAATCTTAGTGTAAAATGCATATTCTTTCAACCTAGATTACCTATTTAGTTGAACAAAGAACAATGAAAAAATGACTCCTACTTTCTAGCCACTAAAACATTAATCCCGGATATGTCTGCCTGCATCTTCACACAGCTAGGGGCCTGAAATCCTCCCTTGTCATCTTTTTTTTTTTTTTTTTGAGACACAATCTCGCTCTGTCGCCCTGGCTACAGTGCAGTGGCATCATCATAGCTCACCGCGACCTCAAACTCCTAGGCTCAAGGGATCTTCCTGCCTCAGCCTCCTGAGTAGCTGGGACTACAGGTGCGTACCACCATGCCCGGTTAATTTTTTCTATTTTTTATAGAGACAGGGTCTTGCTCTTGCTCAGGCTGGTCTCAAACTCTTGACCTCAATCAATCCTCCCGCCTCGGCCTCCCACAGAGCTAGGATTACGGACTTGAGCCATCACCCAGCCCCTTCTCAACATTAATGCAGAGCATAAAAGCACAACCTGAAAAGTTCTTGGGTTTAAATCTTACCTTTCCCTCCTACTGTGTGACTCTGGGCAGTTTCTCCCTCTCTGAACCTCAGGCTCTTCATCTGTAGAATGGGATGAGGGTTCCAACCTCGAAGTGTTGCAGTCAGACTGCAGAGCTGGAAAAGGCCTGGCCCCAGCAGGGCTTGTCTCTGCTTGGGAGGCAGCAGGGAGGGGACTGCCTGCAAGGGAGGGCGCGGCCCGGGCCAGGCCTCCTGCCAGCCCCACCCTAGGCTGCCCCGGTGACAAGGCAGGGAACCTGCGCTAAGCGCTAAGTTCTCTGTACCCAGCCCCAGTCCCTGGAAACATGAACAAGGTCTTCCCCCAGGTGAGAGCCGGCTGGGCTGACCGGGCTCCTGCCCTTGAGAGAGCAAACCCTGGGGGAGGGGTGGGCAGTAGACAGGATAGGAGAGAGACTGAGGCAAGGCAGCACCCACCCTGCCCTGGGGCCCACTGCCAGGTTGTAGGGGACCCAGCTACACAGCGCAGGTGGCAGGGCTGGGAGGGAGGCCGGGCGAGAGCGGCAGCGTCGTGGGGAGGAGGGCATCAGGGAAAGCCTGGCCGAGGAGGAGCTGCCGGAGCCGGGTGGGACAGGAAAGGAACAGCGTTCCAGGCACAGTGCGGGCTGCGTGTGGACATGTGACGCAGGCGTGGTGAGGCTGGGGGTCCAGCGTGTTCGGCTGTGGGGGACCTGTCATTCCTCTAAGGCTTTCAGTGACCCCTTCTGAAAAACTTGGCGATCCGACACCCTGAGGCTGGACCTCTCCCACCTGAGCCCACCGTCACTCTGTTCTCTCGGGCAGGGACATAATGGCAACGCAGCTGCTGGAACCAAAGCCGTCCCCGGAGGGGCAGGTAAAGATCTGGAGGGCCTGGGACCCTGTGGGCTCCGCCACCCCCAGCGGGGGCTCCCTGCTCTCTGGGCAGTTGGCTACAAAGCGGGTTCCAGGCTCCTGCTGTCCCTCAGACCTCTGCCCCAGGTTGATGTCATCTGCTCCCAGCTTCCTGGCCAGCTGTGCTGACAGCCGCCTGCTGCGGGGCTCTTCCTCCCCCAGCACAGTTCCCCCAGCGCCTCCCGAGTGCTGCCCACCTCACAGCCCGCCTGTAACACAGACAAAAGGGCCCAAAGCCCTGACACAGGGGCCACCTGGGCGATTTTACCTCTGAGGGATAAAGTGACACCCGATTTAGCCCTTCTCTGTGCCACTGACTCACTGTGTGACCAGGACAGTTCTCTCCACCTTTACGGAATAGAGGAAGGATGGAACACACATTCACTGAGCATCTCCTGCGTGCCCTGTCCTGGGCCACTGTGACCAGTGAGGACAGACCCAGGGAGGTGGGTGATAACGACAGCCGTAGGGCTCAAGCCCTGCAGTGTGCCGGCGCTGTACGATCTCTTTCAATCCTCCGGACAGCTCCGAGAGGGGCCCCTTCCGGCACAGTAACAGAAGAGGCAGCTGAGGCTGAGAGAGGTTGGGTAACCAGGCCAACGTCACACAGCGGGGAGGTTGGGGGCAGAGTCCGAATTCAAACTGAGATCCCTCTGGCTGCAAAGCCCCAGTGCCTTTGCTGCTGCACACAGGTGTTTGTTTACATTCAACTCCCGGCCCATGGCGGGCGTGGCTGTGGCAAGAACAGCCTCCTTTTCCATCTGTCGGGGAGGGGACTGGCACCCAACGGCTTTCTGCCGTGACCCCACCTGCTCAGGGCCCGTGCTGCACAAATGTTTGAGGAGCGCCCCCTGGCTGACCCATGCCTCTCCCCGCCCAGCATCGCGCAGTCCCGCTGGTTACCTGAGCCTACCCTGTGTTTGCTGATGACGAGAGAGCCACCAGCTAGGGCCACAGGGCTGACGGGGTTCAGATTTATGCTGTGTCTCCAATATTGTCTCCCTTCACCCGCATCCTGGGCTCCCACCACGCCAGGCCCCTGCTGTCCCCACACGCCCTCTGCCTGGAATGCCCTCCCTCTGCACCCTCCCCTCACCTGCCTGTGGAAATCCCACCTGTGCTTCCAAGGACCCTGCTTCGGAAATGTCAGTAGATTGAATGGAAACGACCCGAACTGACCCAAACTGGGGGCCTTCCCTTGCTTCCTGGATCTCTGGGTCACCATATTCACAAAGTGTTCATAAAATACCTGCTGTGTGCCTGACTCTGGAGTTGCATCCCTGGGATCACAGGGCTGAATCAGACCTGCTCCTGCCCCTTTCTCTGGGATACCTGTGGCCTGGACGGGACAGAGCTCACGCTCTCCGTCGTACGTGTCCATGCCTTGCCTTCCAAGTGCAACCGCAAGCTTTCGGAACGCAAGGACCAGAGCCACAGCTACCTTTGTGCCCTCTGCAGAGCAGGACATCTAGTAGGTTGTCAAAAAAGTGTTCTTTCACTATTTTGTAAGCAAGCAAGAATTAAAGGAGCAAAGTACAGTTCTATGAGAGCAGGGACGTCTCCTATCACTGCTATTTCCACAGTACTTAGAATAGAGCTTGGCACATAGTAGGTGCTCAGTAAACACTAATAATGGCCCACACTCAGCACTTACTACATGCTAAGCACTATTCTAAGACATTAACTCAACAAACTCTAATCCTCTTAACAAACTCTAAAGTAGCTATTATGATCCCTGTTTTCCACACAAGGAAACTGAGGCACAGAGAAGTGCAGTGACTTACTCAACGTGGCCCAGCTAGGAAGTGGTGGAGCTGGGATTCCAACCAGCATCCTGGCAGACTCCAGAATGGATACTCAGTTGGAATCGTGGAAAGGGCCTGGGTTTTGGCATCAAACAGGGTGGACTCACATCCCAGCTCTGCAAGGGGCGACCTGGACCTTTTCTTCTCTGAGCCTCAGTTTCCTCATTGATAAAATAAAGGGCTGTTTTGCAAAATAAAAATAACAGCTATGAAGAGGCTGATGCGGTTTCTGCCCCATGGTCGGGGCTGGGTGTGCAGGTGTCCGTCTGTCCCTGCGTCCTGAGGAGGCTGCCCCTTAGTGGGTGGGAGAGGGAGGGCTGTGGAGCAGAGACGGCGTCCTCGTCATCCACCCTTACCACTCACCAGCGGCGGGACCCGGGCTAGGGCTGGGCACTTGGCAGGGTGGGGCCACAGGCAGAACCGAGGCACCCTGTGCAGGGCTCGGGAGCCCCCTCCTCCTGGAAAGCCCTCTCTGCCCCTAACCTACCCTGGCGGGGGAGGGGCTGCTCACAGGGTCAGGGCGGGAGGGGCCTCCCTGCTGCCCATCACCGCAGGCCACGGGCATTCTCCCCACCCACACAGAAGGCTGCAGTCCCCTCTGCTGCTCACGTCGTCGCGGGACGTGCCTCTCGGCCTCTGTGCTGCTCCTGCTGGCAACTCTAGCGGCCCTCATCGCCCTGGTCACCATCCTTGGACTGCCACCACGCATGCCAGGTAAGGGTGGTCACGACAGGGTGGGGAGACAGTGGGGGCACAGAGAGATGGGGGAGCCCTGACCCTGCCTGGCTTGTGTGCTAAGTGACTTTTGGACTATTCCTTAAGGTGCGTGCACACACACACACACACACACACACTGACGTATACCTGTCTCTGAGCCTCCATTTGCATATCTGTGAACAGTTCTTGAGAGGACCTAATGTCACCTCCTCCAGGAAGCCTTCCTGGACCCCCCAGGCTGGGTGAGGAGCTTCGTCCCAGTCCCCGCAGCCCCCGCGCTTCCTCTTCCCCTGGCCTGGCCACCGTGGGCGGTGAGTCCATCTGTGTGCTCCCCTCCAGCACAGAGGACAGGGGCCTGTGCAGTACGGCCCTGCAGCCTCAGCCTCAGTGGCGCACAGCCCCTGCCCCCTGGAGCTACCTGTCTGGAGAGCAGCGTGGACACGAATCCAGTAAGCACGTCAGGGCAGGGGGCACGGGGGCTCTGAGAGCCCGGAATGGGGCTCTGACCCGATCCAGGAGTCTGGGTGGACACCCTGGGGAAGTGAAAGGGAGCTGAGGCGGGAAGGGAAAGTAGGAATTGGTTAGTAGGGGGCAGTGCCAGGAAAAGCACCCGGGCACAGAGAACAGCATGCGCAGAGTCGCTGTGGGGAGGGAGGAAGCATTAGAAGACGCGGGGACTGCAAGGAGCCAGTGGGCGTGAAGGGCTGGAGCGGTGGGGGGCCGGGGACCAGGGCCTTGAAGGCTGCGCTGGGGGGGGAGTCACCATCCAGGAGCCATGGGAAGGGGATTACGCTGGGCGTGGGGCGTCACCAGATCTACCTTTCTGAGGGGTGGCTCTGTAGCCAGGCAGGGCAGGTGTGGGGGGACAAGGTCAGGGGTCACACGCACAGTGCTCTCCCTGCCTGAGCAGGAACGTGGGCACCGAGGGTAGACGCGAATACTTAAGGAGCCGCAGTCACGTGCCTGTGTGCGCACCTGTGTGTGTTTGTGTGCGTCTGTGGGCGTCCTTGCAGGTGTTGTGTGCGCAGGGACGTGTGTGTGTCTGTGGGCGCACCTGTTGTCTGTGTGTCTGTGTGTGACTGTGCACCTGGGTGCGGATGTCTGTGTGTGAGCGCATGCGCATCAGTGCGCACACGTCTGTGTGTGTCGGTGACAACGTGATTGTCCCTAAGGGTTGGCCCACCACGCACGAGCCGGGCAGCTCTGGGAGCTGAGAGGTGGTTCACGTGTGCACAAACACAAACGCACAGCCCAGCGCCCCCTCCCACTGTGCACACGGACACGCAGGGCTGTGGCCAGGCTGGCTCCCCGCCTCGTCTGCTGGTTTCTCTCCCCTAATCCTTCGGGGCAGCCCCAGGGGTGGGCGTCCCCCATGGGGCGCTGATGATGACACTTCGCAGGGGTGATTGAGGGACAATAGAATAAAAATATGAAAGTGCTTCGCAGACTATGAAGTTGTGCCCAGATGTGAGGGATTACGACATACGACCCCTGGGACGGCGCTGACAACCTAACCTGGTACCAGGAGACCCACCATTAAAACCACTTCACTGAACCCGACACTGTCCACAGAAGCCTCCCGCGAGACTGTAAATAAGTTTCAATAAAGCAGAGAGCATTTATTCATTCTGCACATTCTCCGTTCTGTGCTTAGTCACAGAAAAGCTTGTATTTAATCTCCCCAACAGTCCTATGGGGTGTGTGCTATGGTCCCCATTTTGCAGACAAAGAACCCGAGGCTCAGAGCGCTCAGGTCATCTGCCAAGGTCAAGGAGCTGGCCGGCAGTAGAACTGGGGCTTGAACCCCATCTCTGGCACGAGTCCCGTGTGCTCCCCACTGCCCCAGTCCCTCAGGCCGGCCCAGGGCGGGGCTCAGGTACGGGAACGTAGGCAGGTTAACGGCAGCGATGCCCTTGTGAGCACCACCCTTGACCCTCCGGGCCTGCCCCTGCCCACTCAGGGGCCCAGGCCTGCGTAACACTGGCAAACAGGACAGGCTTCTTGTGCCACGACCGGAGGAGCTGCATCCCGGCCAGCGGGGTCTGTGATGGCATCCGCACTTGCGCCCACGGCGAGGATGAAGAGGAGGGCTTGTGCCGTGAGTACCTGCTCGGTCCTGCCCCTGCCTGATGGGCGCTCCCAGGAGTTCCCTCCTTCTCCAACTCTCCCTGCAGCCATAGAGAAGCTCAGCCATCCCCGAACATACCGGGCACTTTCATGCCCCCATGCATTCATTATATGCTGCCTCCAGCCAGGAGCGCCTGCTCCCACCCATCCCAGTCAGGCACACACGTGCGCGCCCACACTAAGGAATGCCTTCACTCTGTGCTCTCCTCTCCCAGAGAACCCGTGTTCATCCTTCAAGGCAGAGTGCAAGTGCTACCTCCTCCAGGAAGCCTTCCCTGACTTCCACATTAGGTTAAGGGGTGAAGGTTCCTCCTTTGGGCTCCCACAGCCTCTGTGCATCCCTGTGTCCCAGCCCTAGTCACACCGGTTGTCACTCTCGATTGGCACACCCGCCACCCCCATCAGACTGTGAACTCCTCTGAGGCAGGCCTGGTCTGGGGCCTCAGCGCCTGGCACGGAGGGGTATCCAGAATGACTTGCTAACTGAATGGGGGAATGAAGGAATGGGAAGACCTGGCCCCAGACCTTAGAGACCTGAAGGTGCTCGGGAGAGAGGAGACACGGCTGCATGGACTGGGTATCAAAAGCACAAATCAGTGCCTGGCGAGTTGTAGCAGGTGGGTTGGGGGAGCACGTGGGGGAGGAAACTTGCATCACAGACGCTGGAGAACAGAGGAAATCTTCACAGCATCTAGTCCATGCCCCAGCTCCCACCAAATCCCCTCTGTCGCCAGCCCAACAGACCACACCCAGCCTCTGCTTGCATACTCCTGGGATGGGGAGCTCACTACGTAGGCAGCCACTTCCGGAATTGAATGGTTTTTCCATGGAAAGATCGTCCTTGTCCTGAGCTCAGGGCTGCCTCCTGGTAGTGTCCCAGACTGGTTCCAGCTCTGTCCTTTCCTCAACCCCAGCCCCTGATAGACCACGTTTTAATCCCTGTCCCATGATGGTGGCACTGCATGGATTTGGAGATTGTTCTCTTGCCCCGCTGTGCGCATCCCCTTCTCCGGGACACACCCTGCACTCCAACAGCCACCCGCCTCGTGACCAGTTCCTGGTCCTCCCCACTCTACAGTGCCCCGCAGGACTCACACCACTGCCCATGTCCCCCTCCCTGGACAGGCCCCGCAAGCATCCATGGCACTTCTGGCTGGTCCGGCAAGTCCAAGGCACAAAGGCTTGTCCCCTCCCTGACGTGGGGTTTACACCGCTAGTGATATGGCCTGAGTCTGCGGGAATCTGGGGAGCCCGTCACACTGCTGTCCAGCACAGACGCATTCTCAAGGAAGGTGCCCTGACTCCCTCTCACAGGCGTGTGAGCCCTCCGCGCCCTGAGCTCTGAGGCCGGGCGTAAGACGGCACATTTATTCTCCTTCCGTTCCAGTTGCAGGAGGCTTCCTGGAGGGGAAAGGGCTTGAACCTGAACTTGAAAGCGGCTAAGTGTCCGGGAGGGCTTTCTGGAGGGAGGAAGAGTGCAAGCAACGGTGTGGGCGGGAACGGCGGCGGCTCTCGGGTCCTGCCGGCTGCACAGGAAAGAGCGCCCTCTCCCTTCCATCCAACCTCCCTCCCCAGCAAACCTCCATGCCCTTCCTGGGGTGGATGGGCGGTGACCTCAAGCTGTGGCCAGATGTGGACTTCTTCCTGTCCCATCTGTCCCTCTGTAGGAGACGTGCCCCGCAGCCTCCCCAGCTTCCTGGTGGCCCACTGTGGAGACCCGGCCTCCTGGATCTACGCAGACCAAAAATGCGACGGGATCAACAGCTGTGGGGACTGCTCGGACGAACTGAGTCCAGGTGGGGGTCTGGGCACAGGCTGCGCCGGAGCAGGTGGCCAGGCAGCGGCCAGAGGGCAGAGGCTGACCAGGGAATGTCCAAGCCTCCTCCGTGCATAGCGTCCCTGCACCCTAGAAGGAAGTTTTCTGCCTCTGCTTGAATGCCACCAGCGGCAGGGTGCTCACTGCCACTCCAAGTGGCTCCTCCTGGAGGTTCATTCTTCTGTGGCGGGGAACTTACCTCAAGGGCACAGATGAGAAGGCGGCCGGGCAAGGAATATATATGCGGCACAACTGGGATTTGAACCTGGGTTTCCCTCATCACCTCTGCATCTCCCAAAAACCCCGTGAGGAAAGTGGGGCAGGAATCACTGGCCCCAATTTACATGTAGGTAAACTGAGGCCTCAAAAGGAGAAGGAGCTTCATATAATGAGTGACAGGGAGGGAGCCTGTGTAAGCCTATGTCTCCTGACTCCAAGTCCGTGGTCCTTCCACTGCCCCAGAGTTTCCTCTCAATCCCTTCCCCAGTGTTCAATCAACAAACATGTTCTGAGCCCCAGTGGGGGCGGGGCCTGTGCCAGATTCTGGTGGAGGACAGTTATGGATCAGGCACATATCCTACCCCAGGACTCGCATCGTGGTGATGCTAAAAGGAAGTGCTGGGGCCCTAGAGGAATCCTGGGAGACTTCTTGGAAGAGGTGGCATTCAAGCAGGCTGAAGAGAGTAGACAGGGTTTCAACAGGCAGAGGCTGGGTGTATGAGGAGAAATACTGGAGGCCCGGGGCACAGGGTGAAGGAGAAGTCGGGGCAGCACCCCCAGGGAGTCACAGTGGGTTGCTGTGGCTGAGGGTGGGGTGGCGGGAGGCAGTGTGCACTCCTTCACGTTTGAGCCTTGACCATGTACCTGGCACTTTGCCTATCTTCCTTTACTTAATAACAACCTTAGGCAGATGAGGAAACTGAGGCTCAGACAGATGTGAACAGTCACACAGCCCTTGAGTTGTGGAGTCCTGATTCTCTCTGCTGCAGGAAAACCAATCTGAGAGGGTGGGACTGTGGGGAGCTATAGCAGGTTTCAGAGGTAAGGAGTGCCCTGGTGCATGGAGCTTTCCAGGACACACCAGCAGCTCTTCTGCCGGCTCTTGTCTCCCCAGTGACTGTGTGCCCGCCCTGTGGCCCTGGGTGGTGGCACTGCCCTTCCACCGTCTTCAAGTACTGCGACTGCATCCCGAGGAGTCTCTGCAGGGACCGTGTGCAGCACTGCTCTGACTGGTCCGACGAGTACTCCTGTCCTGGCCCCTGAGCGGACCACCCAGGCCGGCATGGAAGGCTGGTTGGAATGGCATTGGCAGCCCCTCACACGAGCGTCAAACTCTAGAGCGCGAGGGCAGGAAGGAGCCTTTGAAATCATCTCGTGGGATCTACACATCCTGTCTGAATAGGAATTGTCTTTTCTGCTTTCAAGTTTTTCAGCCTCTGCTTGAATGCCCCCAACAACTGGGAGCTCACTACCATGTTAGACAGCTTCTAACAAAGATGGGGGGACTCTGCTCCCTTGATTTTGAGGCCACACAGAAGAAATCTGCCACTCTGCTCCAAAACAGGCTTGCAGATTCTAATCTTGCCACCCCTTGAAGAGAAGATAAGTCTGGGGCTTAAACGCCAAGCTGAGGAGTTGCCCTTATAGATGGCACACCTTTGAGACCTCAGGCAGATATTGCTGGGCTTGGATGCAACCTTAGCATTTTTCTCAACTCAGTTATCCCTGCAGGCCCCACTGATTAACACGAGATTGCTCACGAGTCAGGGTACTTGGCATCCTACCAGCAGGAAGCTACCCCAGGAAGCTCTGCGCTGCAGAACTGAAGAGCTGGAAAGAGAGCAGCTGGAGGAGCTCCTTCCCGCCCTCTGTCCATCCCATTCTCCACCCCACTGCTCCCCCCCTCCACCCTATGCCCAGCCGCCCGGCTAAACAGCCCAGTTTTCTTGAAGTAGGTACCGGAGCCTTGAACTTTGGTCCTGGAGCCCAAATGAGCTGTTTCTCTGCATCCTTTTCCAGCTCCACAACACCCAAGCAGGCAAGGATGGAGATCCCCATTACACAGACAAGAAAACTGAGGCCCAGAGGGGGAGGTGACTTGCTCAGGATCATACAACAAAGTCAGTGCTGGAACTGGGACTAAAACATGGCCTGTGACACCCCAGCCCAGATGCCTTTCCAGCTACCAGTGCGATTATGCCTTGGCTGGGCAGAGTCTCTGTGGGGTATTTGCAAATGTAGCTGGAGGGTCAGAAAGTATCACACCCTTCTTCTGGAAGGGAGACTGGGCATCTGGCCACTGAGAGGGTTCCTGTTGAGGAAGACAGACATATCCCCATTGAAAATTAATAAAATTGGTTTTTTATATTGGTTTCTTCTCAGTTTTTGAACAGAAATGGGCCTCCCAGAGACTGGTGAGTTCTGGTTCGTCCACTGCCTCGTTAGTTCGTTCACTCATCAGTCTCCGTGCACCTGCTTTGGAGCAAGCGTGAGCAGGGTGCCAGGCCCAGAGGAGAGACTGGATCCCGGCGCATGAGGAACGTGGGGTCCTATGGAGGAGGCACCTCCACCGTAGGGGTGGGTGAGACAGTGGGAAACGCTGGCAGTGGGACATCACCTAGGGGCATTAAGCACGGAAACTGGATCCACCGTGTCCTAACACACCGACTGCCACGCTAGAATAAAATGCTTTTCCCTGGGGCCATGGTGTTTTATTAAAACAAAACGGGCCGGGAGTTGTGGCTCATACCTGTAATCCTAGCACTCTGGGAGGCCGAGGCCGGAGGATCCGTTGAAGTCAGGAGTTCAAGACCAGCCTGACCCCATCTCTAATAAAAATAGAAAAATTAGTCAGGTGTGGTAGTGCACGCCTGTAGTCCCAGCTACTTGGGAGGCTGAGGCAGGAGGATCGCTTCAGCCCAGAAGTTTGAGGTTGCTGTGAGCTAGGTGACACCACGGCACTCTAGCCGGGGCAACAGAGTGAGACTCTGTCTCAAAAAACAAACAAACAAATAAATGAAACGATCCTTTCTAATTTGTTATTTTTTATTGTTTTCTGTGCGTGAGTTATATGCAACACAATCCATGTTTTTAGAATTAAATTGTCAATATTAATTGTAACAATAAGAACATCAACAAGTAAGATTTTCACAAACCCACTGTAGGGTTTTGCTTCACGAGGCCCCAGGTTCAAAACTAGCCTGAGTTAAATACAAGTCACATGGCAGTTAGTGTGTTAATGACAGCAGCCCAAGAAAGATGCCAAGGACATGGATCAAGTACACAGAGCGGAGAGGGTGGTCGAGGGCTATTTACTGGTAGAACTCATGGGCCTTAGGCACCTCCTGGGGGTGGGAGGTGGCAGGGTGGAGGGAGTCCAGCATGCCTGGGAAGGAGCACGTGGCCTCATGCCCTGGCCTGTGCCTTCTCCAACAGGACACCAATCTCGAGGGGAAGAGAGGGTCGAATTGGTCCCTGGGGACAAAAAAGGTCCAGAGGCTCATTTCGGCACTCAAATGCCAACATGTTCTGAATTGAGGAAGCCTTGAGCTTTGGCCATGAAGCCAGGCAAGATCGGAGCACGAGCCTGTGTTTGCTCACACCAAGTCAGCCTTGAAGGTTCAGGCAGGTGGAGAGCACCCATCTCCCAGCAGGGGCTGGTGGTGCTGCACTTGGGCCCCATGGGAGAGAGGCAGGTGGACCTCAGCAGTTATCCAGTCCTGGGCTTCTTCGGTGGCCCATGGCACTTCTCAGATAAACATCCAGAGGCACAGGCACCATAGGTTGCATATGATTTTGCCCTCCCCTCTCCCTTAACCAAACCCATCCACATGCCCCTGGCCATTAAGATGCTTCATTTAGGCCAGGTGCGGTGGCACACACCTATAATCCCAACGCTCTAGAAGGCCGAGATAGGAGGATCGCTTGGGGTCAGGAGTTCCAGACCAGCCTGAGCAAGAGCAAGACCCCATCTCTACTAAAAATAGAAAAATTAGCTGGACATCGTGGCACACACCTATAGTCCCAGCTACTCAGGAGGCTGAGGCAGGAGGATCACCTGAGCCTAGGAGTTTGAGGTTGCAGTGAGCTGGGCTAATGCCACAGCACTCTAGTCTAGGCGACAGAGTCTTGCTCTGTCTCAAAAATACAAAAAATCTCCAAACTTGGTGTTTGGGAAGAACAAACAAACAAAAAACCAAGATGCTTCATTTACAGGACGGGGAAACCAAGGCCAAGACAGAGCTACCTGAGTCCGTTCGGCATGTCGGTGGCAGGACGACTGGAAGCCAGGCATCTTGGTGCACACGGCTGGCGTTTGCTGAGCGCTTGCCATGAGGCCGGCACAGTGGTAAGAGCTTTACCTTTAATCCTCACAGCTATGAAGTAGGTGCTGTTTTTAGAGTACCTAAAACCTCTCACTTAGACAGGCAGGGCAGCTTGACTAGTTGGGGACAGAGCAGGTGTGCCCAATCTGAAGTCTGGGCACATGCACTGTGTCACTCTGTCTCGGGAGGTCTGGGAAGGCTTCCTAGCAGAGGTGACACCCGAGCAGGGCCGTGAAGGAGGATTCAGAGCGAGCCAGGTGGGAAGCGGGGAAAGACCATGCCAGGTTGAAGAGATGCTGGGGCCAGGCAGGAGGGGTGTGGGGGGGCGGGGGCGCAGGGCAAGGCAGGGAGGGCGCCTGGCGGCTGAGGGATAGTGAAGTAGCCGCAGTGCCTGGAGCGTGAGGAAGAGCCTTGGACTCTAGGCTGCAGAGAGGCCGCAGGGTGCCGGCAGAGGTTTTGGGCAGGAGGAACACATCTGATCCCTCCTTCTGAGCAGGGGCCGCTCTGCACATCGGGAACGAGGCTACAGCGCCAGCCTCTCCCGCAGGCTTCCCGAGCGGAAAGAGTGAGATCTGGAATGCAAGCGCCCTTTGGAAGCAGTGAAGCTTCATGCACAGGAAGGGGTGCCAGGCGCTGTGCTAGGGGCTTTAGTGGATGTTTAGTGAGCACTTAGTCCACGCCACGCACTATTGCAAACCTCTATGTGTTGTGTCGCTAGCATCTCATTTTCTGGAATCTTCAGAACCACTCCGCGTACCTGGTTTGGCTACTCACACTTTGCAGAGGCGTAGAGAGATGAAGTTGCTTGCCTAAGATCACGCAGCTTTTAAGACATGGAGCCAGGACCCAGATAGGCCCAGATCCAGAGCCCATCACACCCCTCGTATGGTCTCCTTGTCAGCAGGGTCTCCCTAGAGGGCACACCCGGAGCCCGGGCCAAAGGGCCGCAGCCTGTAAACAGGAGGTGGCTGGCAGAAGAATGGGTCTTTGTTCTTTTCTTGTTTATTGATTCTTCCTTTCAGAAGGGAGCCGGTGCCATAGCGACCTCCCAAACAGCACTCTGTAAGGGGGGTGCAGAAAGCGCAGGGCCCAGGGCGGCCAGGCAGCCCCTCCCGGCTCACATCAGCGGAGCAGCCCGGGTGAGAACTCAGGCAGCAGCGTCAATATTTGCCATCTCCCAGCCTCCCTGGCCCCGGCCCCAAGATCAGCGCTTTAAGAACAACAGGTTTTTTGCTGTGCAAACACGCAGGGATAGATTAATGGAATTTAAGATGGCTTAGGCTGGGCCCCAGGGTTTGGACTGGAAATCTGGTCTGATTTAACCGTCTGCCGTCACTGTTTGCCAGGGACTCTCTTTTCATCCTTAGACTCACTGAACCACAGACATTAGGGCTGGCAAGGACCTCAGAGCCCAGAGGACACTGCTTCCCAGAGAGGAAAAGGACCACCCCAAAGTTGCACTGCCTGGAGGTTAGCACTGGGATGCTGAGGGCCACCCAGCAGCTCCAGGTCAAAGTACAAGCGGCTTCTCTGAGTTCTTAAAAAATTACATTCCATGGAATGTACATATCTTAAGTGTATAATTCCATAAGGTTTTTAAAAAACAGCTTTATCGAGGTATCATCGACATACAATAAGCTACATGTATTAAAGTGCACACTTTCCTAAATTTTGACGCATGGATGCACTCATAAACTATCACAATTAAAACAGTGAACATACCCATCACCCTCAAAGTCTCCTCGTGCCCCTTGGTAATCCCCCACCCCTCCTTGATCCTCACCCCCATGCTCAGGCAACCACTGATTTATTTTCTGTCAGTATCGAATAGGGTGCACTTTTCTAGAATGTTATATAAATGTGGTCTACAGTGTATACCATTTTTTGTCAGCATCTTTCACTCAAAATAACTATTATGAGACTCATCCGTGTTATAGCATGTCCAATATTCATTCTTTTTGTTGTCGAGTTATAT